CTAGTAATTCCGTCCAAGTTTCAACGACATCTCGTAACCCGTTCGTTTCTCGATTGATCTAACAATCTTCCAAGAATTACCATGACCGAAAACGATAAACATACGCCCCACACGAGGCCTTTACACGATGCAAATCAATACAGAAAATACACAAAGTTACGAGTAAAGGAACAAATTGATACTATCCTCTATGATTACCATTCATCGCTTCACAACCTCTAGATGATCGTGCAACACAGATCGCTAACGAACAAAGAGCAGAGAAAAGAAAAATCAAAAATAGAAGAAAAAGAAGGGAAACAAGTGAAATAAAATTAATTCTCAGGAGGATCCACAGAACGAGAAGCTCTTGGTCAGCCATCGATCTCTTATACGGGAATCTAGAAACGAAAAGTGTATCGGGCGGTGGGGTTCAAATAAACGTATCCTTTTGGATCAACACGCAACCACAGAAACAGGTACCAAGACAGGTGTACACACACGGCAAGACTAGGGGCAACGATCTCTAGAAGGGGGGAAAGATAAACTTCAAAGAACCAAAACGACAACGAATGGATCAATCGACAGATAAACAAAGAGAACTAATGCACGTTAATCAGTAAGAAACGGCAACGATAACCAGTACAACCGTAAACAGTAAATATAATATTAGGTAATAATCATCTAGGCGTATATAATTACAAGATATTGTATATATATATATATATATATAGTTAAGTTTTATACGTAAGAAAAAACATTGAGTGTTCAATGGTAACGAACGCTTGGATCGAGAAATTGGACATTTGGCCGTGGTTTCGGGGTTACTAGGCAGGCACACCTTGCTGGTTCGGTCTGGTTGGGGCGGTGTCGCCCGACGCTCGTAGTGCCTCTCCGGCTGTTGATAAAGGGGGATCTGCAAAACCCATTCGGAAACGTGTTCTCGCAATACACCTGGTAGCTTCATTGTTTTTTTTTTTTGTATGTAGTGTCTTTCGTGTTTGGGGAATAGTTACACTGCGTCGTCGAGGATCGATAAAAAGAACACATCTAAAGACCTCCGGTTCGGATTCAGAACTTAAGGATCATAATGTTTGCCTCGTGTCAGTGGGGTATAGTCGAGGACACTTCCCGAGATCTAATTTCTTGTATAAAATCGAGGGGGATATTTGTACCGTCCCGAACAAAAATATAAACCTTGTGTCCCGATAGTAGAACTAGCTCGAATTGATTCAGGGCCGCGTAAGATTGTACACCCCTTATTTAGATACTAAGTAGTTGTGGTTGAGGGTTTTAGCAGAGTATAGGTATAACCAGAAGCGTCATTTGGCAAAAATAGCGGCTCAAAAATGTTACAGTGCATACGTAACCATACAGTCAAGAACATGGCGAAAGTTTCTATGTCTTCCTATGACTATTCTCAATCGATTTGAACGAATTGAATGTATTTAAATAGGTATATTATTATAATGTATTTTCCTAATTTTTTTTATATGTTCACATCTTGTCTACCCTCTATTTCAAAGTGAAGAGATATATGTGTTAACGTATTACTCACAATGTTGCCAAACGTTGTAGTTAATAAATATATGAAGTATCAATAATATTCACACATTGTTAATTAAAGCTACCTCTTTCACATATTTTCAGGACAAATCTTTTCGGTATAATAATTTGATCACCCTCTGTACTTAATCCTCCATAATACGGACACCATACGTAATTGGATCGCTTACCCTATAAGCTGTTCTTTGATATTAGTCCCTGTTCTAAAACATCGTATTCAACCGTCAAGATTATGATTAAATTTGAACACACACACGCACAGACACACAAAATCTGGGACTAATCTCAGTATGTAGTATCGAATAGCGTCTGGATCAGACTGTGCGCGAGCGGTTCTGTTTGCAACGTGGGAGTGTGCTCGCGTATTAAACGACCAGTTTTTGGTTAATCCGTCGACATTGCACAGCACATAGATACACACACGTGGTAGTTTCTCGTGGAAACCGCCCACACTCGCCGTTCTTCCTGGAACGATCCTCCGTTTCGCGAGAGTAGCTCGATAAACGGTTTCGAAGAACAGACCGATTAATTATATCCGTCGATTTCAAAGAAAATAGGAGGTTCCGCTTTGACACGTTAAATGCTCATAGTTATTTCGACCAGTACATCGAGATAAGGTGCATTCTGTTTAGGTCTCTCAACAATATATGTATTGACACGTTTACACGAAGACTCATTTACTGTTAATGGTATCCTTCTACTAGGGGAAGTTTGCCGAATATGAACCATCGCACAGTGGAACAGGTAGCCTATCCAGGTGGACCAAACCCTTTAATTTAAACCTTGTAATTTCATTTTTTTTTTTTGTGAATAAAGATGTTATGTAATAATCAAAGATTTGTATTCGATAGATTTTGACCATCAAAACTTGCATTATTCCAAATTCGGCACGGGTTAATTCATTTCATTATCCGGTGTTGTTAGATATTTATTAAACTCTACACCCAACAATGATTCATCGAACCGATTATCGTAAAGATTATTATATTATTTCTTCTGTAATAAAGCCTTTTTAGAAAGGTATTCTAAAAACAAAAATAATTTAGTCTTTATGGTGACCATTATGAGATTCACACGGATTCGCCTGTAATATTCGCAGGAAATTGTAAGAATACCTTTTGTTACCAATATATTTTAAATCCAGCTACTATTATCTGCTGTTTCTCAATAGGAAAAATAGCGTACCCGTGTCAAGATGGAGAAAAATCAAAAATAGTCTACATTGAACATTATCTTTTCTTTTTATTAATTTTCAGGGGAAGGTTGCCGAATTTGGACCGTCGCCTAGGTTGGACCTTCAATGTAACTTGTCATGGGTAAGCAATTTATGTCGTATGATAGACAATACAGTAACGTCTCGATGAGTTCGACTAATTCAGGTCAGGTGCCAAGGCGGAAAAGTTTTCAGCCCCTCATAAATTTGTTTCTTTCACGAAGCGGAGCCTTTGCTTAGTTTCTGTTACTCTGTTTTGATTGGTCCCAGAAAGGGATCCCCCAAGTGGTGGGAATAACGCCGTTGTTCGTGTCGCATTCATCGAGGAATCTCTGTACGTGTTGCTTACATACTAAGTTAGTTACTGGAATTGCTGCTATCAAACACGTATTGTCTATCATACGGTGCAAATCGCTTACACATAGCAAGTTACAGTAATGGTCTAACCTAGAAATATTTCTGTGCCTCCTGTGGATGAAAAATGATTGGGGAATTTGTGATGTCACAACGGACTGGTTGCCAGGACACCGATAATCTCCCCCTCCCCTGGGTTTATTAACAGAATCCGTGTCTAATTGCTCGTGAATTTGTTCTTTGTAAGGTTTTCTATCCGTTTCAAGAGAGCTGCGGTCAGCAATTCCCCGTCACCGGGATCGTTACAGCCGCCATTTGGTAGGATCGCGCTCACTAAGCGGTGAGGGATCCGTGCACCTATAATCCAATCCCGGAACTGCTGGAGACCGTGTCTTGAACGAACGATTTCAAATTACCGGTAATTATTTAGAAGTTTGACCTCCTCACCGATTTCAATGATACTGAAGTATGTTACGTTTCCAAGCTATAGTGACTTCGTAAAAACAACAGAAAATTGGGATCCTTTACGCATTTACCGTAAATAATTTCACATCCTATGAAGCAAAGAATATTTCAAATTTTAAGGGTACAGAAAATCGTGTCAAACATGTAATAGGAAGTAAATGGAACCACATAAGTACTGGCCCGAAGATATAGCAAAAGAAACATTTGGCGACTTGTACCCTCAAAGGGTATCCATACAGCCCACCAAATGAGAAGGTCACACCTAGATTGTCACTACAGTAAATCCTTGATGAGTGTCCGAAGGCTTCTTCACACTGACAAGGCGAGGTCTCCAGGTGTAACGCCGACTTTTTAATCAGTTTGAACAATGATATTTGGTTTAGTTGCATATGGCAATTAGTTTATAAAATACTTAATATCCATCGTCGAGGAGCCTTCCAACACTTATCGAGGATTTACTGTATAGCTCGAAGGGGCACGTATAGAGCCACGGGGGGGGGGGGTTCAACAAGTTCGTCTTCAGGGGGATTGCCCAATTGGGGAATGTCAACGTTGGTTGTCCCTGGTCACCTGACGAAGAGAAAGAGGATTCTGCTGATGTGCTTTAGTCCCGAATCTATTTCCAAGGAAAGCTGAGCAATTAGAAAAGGAATGGTGGTACACCGCTCGCGCGAGAGATTCGCTCGTGACATTATATCGGTCACCTGTTCTCAGCTTTTAACCCGTTTACACACATACCCACACACACACACACATATATACAGAAACACGTGTAGCTAATGTTGATCCTCGTTGCGAGGCAGATGGATCTCGCACGGGGGATGGGGAAGGACTTGCGTTTCGGGCTCCTTCGCATCCCCATGGCTCTGTCTTCAGGGTCGCCGTGAACACGTCGAAGACTCGATATTCCGAACGTGAACGCGACAACGACGGGGGTCTCTCTCTGCGATGCAGGCAATGTCCAAACAACTGACCCTGTGGGCGGTTCGGTCCCATCTAACGCTGTCGAAGTTATAGAAGTTATAGATCCGCGAAAACGGAAGCGAGGCTGATGTTTCGATTGAGGAGGCTCGACGGATGGGGTTCAGTCACTTTTTGGAAAACTGACCGAGGACAGACAACGACGACGAGACACCCTTAGTACATTCGTTCTTTCTTTAACGTTTTTTTTCTCTTCGTTTTTTCGTTCGGTTTTTGTATATTACTTTGCTTTTTCTGGGGGGGGTGGGTTTTGGTTTTTTTTTTTTTTTTTGGCTTTCTCTTTTCGTTTCTTTCGTTCTTTGTACACAAGGATCACACACGAGCTGTGGGTATATTTCATATAATGAGAGACATAAACAAACGGTAAAAAATATATATATATAAAAATAAACAGAATATGAAAACGGTGCCCGATAGAAAGAAATTTGTGGGTGACACTCACATAGACCTCTTCCCATTGCGAGACATACCGCACCAGTCTTGACAACCGTAGTAACCGGACCAGCGACAACAGTTTCGCCAGTCGAAGGATCCTGAGAGCACGGCCAGCATGCAGGATCTGGAAGGACTCGCTAAAGTCCTGAAACTGAAATTTAACAGGCGATTCTCGTTAATCTCACCCCAAGGCTGACTTGACGTACGGCGCATGCGTTACCGTTTCTTTTTTTTTTTATATTTTCCCATAAGAATGACTTTCAATAAAGATATATCGTAGTGTAAAATCGATTTGAGAAGAAAATTAAACGAACTTGTAAAATTTTAAAGAAAAGAGAACGCTGAAAGAAACGCGTAATTTTGCAACTGCGACAAGTTCTTTAACAAGAAAATCGTCGTATTGATCAACTGGAAGCATTGGTTCAAGAGGAACAAAGCAATATGTGATTTCTAACTGTTTGCAATATTTTACGCCAATCGAACAAACGCGTTTGGTAAATTTAATCGAAACGAAGGAACAGTCCCTATATGTCTGAAATCTACGCTCGTGCACACGAAAGAGGTTAATTACATAAAACGAGTTTGGATGGTCCAGCGACCAAAACGAGTCCGGAAAATTAATTAAACCCAAGAACACGTGTACCCGGGAATAGATGTATTAATATGCACTTACTTGATTAAATATGAGGAAAATGTAGTCTAGTGGTATGGAGGAAATGAGGTCGAGAAAGAACCAAGTCCTGAGGTAGTGTTTCGCGATTAACTTCGGGTCCAGGATCACTTGCTCGGCATTGTCCTGCTGCATTATACCTGAAAACAAGAGACACGATTAATAAAAAAACACGATTAATGGTACAAAAAGAGAATGATCATAACACAGTTTCCCCGTTAGCAATTTCGTATGTATATAGGGAGTCTCAAAAATGTTGTAACTCCTTGAAAGAGGCGATTCCTGGGGTGATTTGAAACAACTTTTTCCTTAGCGAAAAAGTTCCCCGAGGCTTGATTAACGAGATATTATCGAAAAATTGCAACCAATCAGAGAGTGAGCCTGCCGGACGAGCATCCGCGATACCGTTGGCTGCAGTGGGAACAAAAGTGTTAACCCCAGTGAGTGATCTCATTCCGAAGAACCGAACATCAATAGAAACAACAAAATTGCCCGATGCGTCTATCGAGCTGCAGCATACGAACCTGCAGAATTTAAAGAAAAGAGAAAAAAATCGGAATTTTCGGTGTGTGTCGAAAATTCCCTTGTTCGTTAACGACAGAATACAATATCGAAACAACCAACCGTACAACACCCAGGTTAATTCGACGGTCCCAAAGCTCGACCACTTCTTTCCGTAGAACCTGCATAACTCACACCACCGTCCCCACCCCAAATTACCATACAAATATTTCATCCCCGATCGACTCGATCGACTGGATGCGCATCCAGGCGTTAGTATGCAACTCGCGGAACGTAATATTGGTCGACGGCCGATAATCTGGATCAAGAATTCGCGGCAATCGCGAGTCGACGCGCAGCTCACGTATACACGGTTTAGCCCGTACAATGGGTTCCATCGGACCGAGACCGGGAGGGGTTGGGCTGGAAGGGCACGTGACCCAATTTCCCCGTTCCTGGGACCGACTCAAACGTGTTTCAAATTAATCCTCATCCTCCTCCTGCCCCCACTCCGCCAACCCCCCTTCACTTGGTAATAACGAAACGTCTACGAGCCGGGTGCGAATTGCTCACCGCGTGTCGAACAATGTTATTACCGCGTGTCGTGTCCAGTTGAAGGCCTGTCATACGTGTATACATTTGTCAAGGTCTAGGAATGGGATACTGACACGTTGTCATACGGCGAATCACGTCCCATTCGAGAGTTACAGATGTCTTCTAGTTTTTTAAAGTATCGATATCTACTTAGTATCACATCAAAAGTATCGATATCTACTTATTATCGCATAAAAAGTATCGATATCTACTTGGTATCGCATCGAAAGTATCGATACTACTTAGTATCACATCAAAAGTATCGATACTACCTAGTATCGCATCAAACGTATCGATATCTACTTTGTATCACATCAAAAGTATCGATATCTATTTACTATCGCATCAAAAGTATCGATATCTACTTGTTTCGAAGAAACATGCCCGCGTGTCGATAGGACAAAACTAATGCAACGATTTTGATTTTGAAAATTTTTGATTTTTTACTACTTCTCAATCAAACGTTTATTAACGTATTTGTGATATTTTTCTGATTAAAACAAGACCAAAGACAACATATTTTGAATGATATTTACTTATTGATATTGATTAAGTGTCATAAATGATCATTAAGTAAATATGATTCAAATTATATCGTGTTTGGTATCATTGTAATCAGAAAAATCTCACAAATACGTTGGTAAAAGTTTTAGTCAAATAAAACCAAAAATAAAAATATCGATACAAAAAATACTCGGTATCGACTGAATTATTTACTTGTATTTACTTGGATTGGTTCATCCCTAGCCTGTATATTGTTTTCAACTCAATAGGTTTCTAATTTTCTTCCCCCGTCATTTTCCAGCTGGCAGAGATAAGTTAATGTTGTTGCGAGCTGGCTCTTTGAAGCCGAGAGCCAGCTTTCAGATACCGTCAGTGTCAGTGCCTGCGGAAAGCACGGGGGGGAAGTACGTGAAGAAAGAAGTTCTAATTGTTGACATTAAAGGGGATGTGGAAAGGGGGATTGATGCTGTGCCGGTAAAGTCCGCGATGAAACGGCGAAGAAATGAACAAAGGGACGAGACTCGGGGTGTTTCTTTTCAGAGGACGGCCGATTATGTTTCCAGCGAGATTGTAACCTGACGCGGAAAATGCCCGATAAAATGTTTTAAATTAAAAACTACATCGAGTGCATTGGAGTCTGAAGCCATTAAATTAAACGAAAAAATATATAACAAGAGACACACACACATATACACACTTTTCTGTTCACGAGGAGTTGCGTTCTCGATCACGATCGCGGTCAAACTGAAGAAATACTCGTTGAGTCCCGGCACGAAAGACGAAAAGGTCACAAAGTACACAGACAATGAATCGGAAAACACCTTTATTAATGTTAACGTGTTTTTATTCGAGGTGTCGAACGCGGATGACCTGGCGACTATTTGGTCTTCGAACGATTTATGATAGGGTAAATGTCCCTAATACTGCTACTTTGGGATTTATGACAGACACCCTCTTTCGTGACTATGTTTGGTCATTCAAAGTTTTCCAAGTACACGGGGGGTTTTTTGTTCAGCTCTCACTGATCGCTCGGTGGATGGGCTATTTGGGCATCGTTTTTGTACGTTCGAATGGAAACAAGCTTGAATGCAACTTGAACTGTATTAAAGTAGCTCGAGGAATTCATTCCGAAGTGAAATGGAATTTCTGTTATCAAATGTTGCCGAGGTTTATGCCTCCAGTTCGCGTGGTAGAATCTATATTACTGTTTTATATTCATAACCCGCCTACAAATCAATACTTACTTCCGATTAACAGTATTTGGGAATAATTTGTAGAGAAATTATAGCGTATAATGCCTGCAATTTACTACAATTATACCTACCTACATTTGGTTGGGTATTTTGTTAGTGGCTGATAAAGTACTTAAAAATGTCTAAATGTGTTACATAAGTACCAGCAGTAAGTACGTGTCACTGGAAGTAATTCCCCTCATTTTCTATAACTTTGTACCATTTTCTTGGTAATAGAAGTTATATGTTTCAAAATTTTACAGTACGGATCGATCAAACCCATAAATTTGGACTCTGACAATGCTCTTAATAAAAGATACCAATCCCTGCTATCTATAATAAAAGTAATCGACAAAATTCACAGAAATGGAAAAGTTTCTCAACAGGAAATGAAAAAGCTTTATCCCTTTAAAATATGCATCCTCCTTTTCCAAGTGAAATGACTGGGGAAATGCTTCGAATTAATAGAATACCGTCAGTTTATGAAAAATAAATAATGGACTTATGGCTATGTGTCCAATGTTATTTAAGCCAAACCTACATTCATTTAAATATCCACATTTGATCCACAGGAACGTGTGTTTTTAAATCCATAGAAGCTATCGACGAGGTAAAAACGACGAATGCATATTTGGCTTATTGTTATTCATACCGCGGAGAATTGATTTCGAGCGGCCAATGGAAATTCCGATTGGATTCTGATGGATAATTCTGGGATTTGGCTCACCTGTCCTGAAGTTGACGACAATGTCTATGAGGAATATCGTGTCGGAAAGGCAGTTGAAGGCTATCCACCTAGTGCTCAGGTCGTCATTGAAAAAACTAATGGCGACTGGCAGAATTATCAGATTCGCTACCAGCAGGAGGAGCATGCAGAGGTCCCAGTAGAATCTGAAATACAGAAAACGATCGATCGTTAGATGACAAAATTAGTAAATTTTAACGTCTACTCGCATTGTTCCGATTTACATTGGTACAAAATAAATCAAAATAACGCTGAATTTCGAGATCGAAAAAGTAGCGAGAACAGTTGAGCGATCGAATTATTCGAGCCCCCATGCACGAAAAATACGTTTTCGTGTTCCTGTAGTTATAAAATCGTAATACCACGATTTTTACGCAGGATAATTTTCAATCAACAATTGTCCGCTAAAAATACATAAAGAAGAAATTAATCTCAGTTTACGTAATTGGATAATAATATAGTTCAAAGTTCAACCGCACCTGGTCCAATTTTTAAAAAGTTGTTCCGTTTTAACTTTTTCGACCGACTGTACTGTCGAATCGAAAGAATCGAAATTTTAATTCGTAATCTCTGCAATTTCGCCGCAACTGTAATCCCGGTTATTCGAATAAGCGGTTTAATGGCGGCCAAAGTGGGAAAATATCATTCCCGAGCCATCGTATCGTTTGGATCCGAACGGATACGCTTTGTTTCAGCAAACCGAATACTGTTATACAATACGATTCACGTTTTCTTTCCGCGTGCAGGAACGGAAGTATGTATCACGCACCAGATACGCTTACTCGTTCTCAGTTGACCCTAAAACGACCGCCCGTTGAGAATCATTACGTTATAGAGACTCGCGGCCGTGAATAAGGGAACAGGGGGCGATTCATCGTCGGTCTGCTGGAAGATTCCCGAGGAATTCATGCCGACCCGTCGAAAATACCGTCGCTTTTTTCTTGAAGACACGAGGCGAAATGTGCTGGGATGTGGGGGGGGGGGTCTTCTTCAAGGCCACCGATTTAATTAGGAAGCCCTGGTTCTGGTTCCAATGTGAGCTTTCAAAGTACAGGTAACTCCCGTATAATACGGTTCGAGAATTTGGAAAAACCCTCGTACAACATGACATCCTACAACGCGGTTTGAAAATTAGAGAAATCACCGATGAACACTTCACAAGTGCTCAGCACCATATAACGAAATTTATAAAGATTTCTTAGCTAAAAGCAAGTAATCTGAAATAACAGATTTTTCGGAGAAAGTACAGCATAGAATACAAAATAATGCTGAAGAATGTTCAGAGAATGAGGATATCTTGTCAAAAAGAAAATGTCCTCGGTTAATGGCGCTTAGTAGTGATGACGAAGAAAACATTATTTAATACATATTTATATGTAATACTTTTAATGAAAATTGAGTAATTATTTAGAAGTTTGTCATCCTCACCGATTTCAATGACCTTGAAAGACGCCGTCAAGGTCGTCATTCTGATGAACTTTTTCCTATACATGTTACTGCCGCTCGGCCTCAGTTTCCGAGATATTATCATAGGTATACCGTAAAGTGATGTCGTCATTTGTAATGTATGTCATTGTAATCCTTTATATTGTACTATAACGGTAAATCTCACTCAGCATCACATTATTTACATTAATAAAGTGATCTAATTGAAATCTGTGCAGAAGTGGTAGAAGGAAGCATGTAAAGTGTATTTTAGAAATATTTTTGTGTATAAACTTTACGAACCGCAAAGAAACTGAATCCAGTCCAAATAATAATTCCTACATTCGAAATTTGATAGTTCAAGTCAATCTTGAGGCACGAGGGGTAAGTCGCCGTCTGACGAAGAATATTGTACACTTTAAAATCTCTACAACGGAAGCTTCGCGGGGCGAAACGACGAAGAAAAAAAAAAGGTCGCGACGGAGGGAACGCGAGGGAAGCTCAATTGTCTAAAAGGTCCCGCTTTAATCAGTTCGATTCCAGGCCGAGCCGGCAACATTGGCCCACTTCGCCGAGTAATAACGTTGCTACATCGGAGCAATAAACGTGCTTCTGGCCTCGCATGAAGCTGCTCGAGTCGGGTTCGCCTTGCAGCTTGTGCAGACGAAGCGACCCGCGTCGCGGTTGCCCCCTCGAAAGCGACGGAGAGAGCTTCTTCGCTGGCACGCACCGATGAACGGGTACCTCTCTCGCGGTCCCACTTACCGCAACACCTTCCCCGGCTAACAAGGAGAGTTGCACACACACCTGGCTGTCACCGATTTCAATGAAATCGCACGCGGATTAGGTAGGTATCGTAAGTGTTTGCGAAGTATCGTTGGTGTTTGCAAAGTATCGTTGGGGGTTTGCAAAGTATCGTTGGGTGCTTGCAAAGTATCGTTGGTGTTTGCGAAGTATCATTGGTGGTTGCGAAGTATCGTTGGGTGTTTGCAAAGTATTGTTGGGTGTTTGCAAAGTATCGTTGGTGGTTGCAAAGTATCGTTGGGTGTTTGCAAAGTATCGTTGGTGTTTGCGAAGTATCGTTGGTGGTTGCAAAGTATCGTTGGGTGTTTGCAAAGTATCGTTGGGTGTTTGCAAAGTATCGTTGGTGGTTGCAAAATATCGTTGGGTGTTTGCAAAGTATCGTTGGTGTTTGCGAAGTATCGTTGGTGGTTGCAAAGTATCGTTGGGTGTTTGCAAAGTATCGTTGGGTGTTTGCAAAGTATCGTTGGGTGTTTGCAAAGTATCGTTGGTGGTTGCAAAATATCGTTGGGTGTTTGCAAAGTATCGTTGGTGTTTGCGAAGTATCGTTGGTGGTTGCAAAGTATCGTTGGGTGTTTGCAAAGTATCGTTGGGTGTTTGCAAAGTATCGTTGGGTGTTTGCAAAGTATCGTTGGTGGTTGCAAAATATCGTTGGGTGTTTGCAAAGTATCGTTGGTGTTTGCGAAGTATCGTTGGTGGTTGCAAAGTATCGTTGGGTGTTTGCAAAGTATCGTTGGGTGTTTGCAAAGTATCGTTGGTGGTTGCAAAATATCGTTGGTGTTTGCAAAGTATCGTAGATGTTCGCGAACTGACGGACAGTCCGTAGGTATCGATACTTTTTTTCGATTCAAGCTATGAGTAAAATTATCGATACCTTGACGGTATCGGTTTATCCCTAACTATAATACATCCGTATTTGAGACAGAACACAGTTTGGCACAATTTGATGTGCATTCGTGAGATTTTCATTGAAACGTTTCATTCTTTTTGTGATTTATCGGTCGAAATCCATGCATCAATTAAATCAGGATTCGATACTCTCAATACGAACCCGAAATAAAAGTGTGTACGGGTCACATTCTAAAAGGTATGTAAAGCTCGATGCAATAGTTACTATCGGAAAAATACGTGAATTCCTGACATATAACAATTAACGTATCGAAATTATATTCAAAGCACAGGATACTTTTTTGTCAATTTTTTATTAAGTTCAATTGAATTTGGCAATGTTTAGAAGTGACACTGAAATGTTATACAGCTACAGGAATCAATCTGTTCACGAGAAATTGTGGGGAAAATGGAATGTCCATACCTTGGTGAGTGTTTTATAAATATATTCGAGCAGTAGATTGCAAAATACTTACAAATGCCAAGTTACGACTGAGTATGTTTAAAAATGGTCGATAATCGCCTACTTGTTTACTAACACATGTTTCTTCTTTGTAAGACCAACTATTTCCTAACACTTCAATAAGGTCTGATACTGTCATAAGAATGCTTCGTTTTTCGATTTTTTTCCATTGATCGGTCGTCACGAAGATTCGAAATTTTCCAATCTTTTCTGGTTCAAAAAGGTGGGATCAGAAAAAGAACTCAGCGACCGTTGGAGGGGTGTTCGTTAAAACGCGGCACTCGAGTAAACAGAATGAAAATTAAAATTCCGGAGAACGGCGGTTCGTGGCCCAAGCTTGAAACCGTCAGCTTAGATTTCGGTGAACCAACGAAGTTGCCTCGCGTAGACAATCTCAGGAACGGTTGGTTTAAAGGAACCCCCCCCCCTCTCCAGCTTCGTGTTCGTCGCAAGTAGGTTGCGCGCGGTAGAATGCAAATTTCTAATGCAAAATTCAGAGAAGCCTGACTTATTCCATACGAGAGAAACGACGACGGCTACGGGAGGAGACAGATGGCTTGCGTCTTGCCCTCGGGCTGTAACAAAAATTTCCATTCATCCACCGTATTCCCTGTTTCGTTAATGCCCGTTCACCCTTAGGGTAAGTGCCCCAATTACGGATGGTATCCAATATTCTGGAGGGTTAACTGTATTTCTATGAATTAAAAACATTATATTTATACAGCATCTGAAATAATGTTTTTTTAATGAAGTTCAGTCCTATTTCAATTTAAAGTCTTTTATTTTAGTTTCGAATTTTAATCCTCTATAGACCTAATTTTCTTCCTGACCATAAAGAAATTAATGTAACGTGAAACCAAGACATATCAACGTCTAAGGACAAATTAATAATGAATTTACGATTTTCAAAGATTTTATTATTACTACGATATCACGAGCTAGAGCTGATAATCGCTACAAACAATCTCATCGGTTACCAAAGAGAGGTTATTAAAATTAGATTTATTTAAATTAGACCAAAAAAATATTGATATATCAGTGTGTGACTTCGAAGTCACACGGAACTATAAAGGATTAATGTTGAATCTGACCAATTGGTCGTGATTCTTCAAACAGTCTAAGAAGTCCCACATACACGGAAGTAATATACTTTTATCGAATAAAATAAAAAAGACATATATGTATACATAGTACAAGAAAGATAAACCGCTAAATTGACTGAGCACATAAGCATATAACGTCTGAAATAAATTAACATAATTGTTCGTTTGCTGCATGCTATCGAAATTCATCGTTTTCTATGTCCATCTGATATTGCGGTGTTACGCGAAATTCAAACCCCAGAGAGACGATATTTCGTAACATGACACGTCCTCTCGTCCTCGAAACCGGTCAGAATATGTCGGCGAAGTCTCTCTCGGGCCATTGGTGCGCCGCAAGAATAAGCATTCTCATGGTTTCAGGAGCTTTTTCTATCCCTCGGTTCGCCATTCGTCTTCATTTGCGCCGGGCAATTCAGCAGGTAAAGGGGTCATACATCAAAACCTGCCTGCTCTCTACCTGCTGCAC